ATTTGATGAAAAACAATTTGCTATTAACTGCCAAGTGGCTTCATTTGTTACATTCGGGCCTATAGGGCCTTGAACCTCTGACCAGTCTTACACGGACAGCAACAGTGTGGCACTATAGGACAAGCACTAAAATGCTAGTCACAAGGTCAGTGGTCCAAACCCACGAGTTACTCCTTGGAAACCCTATACAGGGTCACTATGAGATGGAATCAACTTGATAGCATTTAACAACAAAAAAATAGATGGCATCTTTACTTTAAAAACTGTCTTGATATTGATGGAGCTAAGCTGAGAAATAGTTTGTAAGTTTTATTGTTTTAATTTAATCTAATTTTCCAAAAAAAACTTTTTGAAGCCTCTCATGCACAGATGGATTCTTGGTGTGGGAGTATTCCTAGTTCAAAAGATTGTATTTATTTATTTTTCTAATTTAACTGTGGCTTTTAAGCCTTATCTAATCTTACCAGCTGGCATACTGATGTAGCATTGTGGGTTAATGCGCTGGACTGCAAAGTCAGTTTGAACTACAAGGTCGGTGGTTCAAGGTCACCAGCTACTCCTTGAAAACCCTATACAGGGTCGCTATGGGTCAGAGTTGACTAGATGGCACTTGACAACAATCTTAACAGCCACTCCTCACAAACCCTATACAGGGTCTCTATGAGTTGGAACTGACTCGACAGCACTTAACAACAACAATCTTCCTAAAACGATGTAGTTTGTAATATTTCTGATTTGGGATATGGGAATAGTACAAACTACATTTAACTGTTGTGAACCAAAATATGGTCAGTTTAAAAAAATTATATACTTAACTGGTGTATTCTAAAAGGAGTTACAAAAGAAGGGAGATAATCTCTAGATCTTAACAACAAATATAAACACAAACACATTTAGTATAGCAACAGCAAAAAAAGTAAAAGTCTAAGCAAAAAACTAAAACTTAATTAATGGTATAGGAAAATTATAAGTAAATAGAGATGCATTGGATTCTGTTATTTGCAACCATTGCAGGTTTATTAACCTATGCTTATATCAGCATCTGTTTAAAAAATAGAAACTTCTCCGTATTTCAAAAATTGAAAGTCAATTTGATGTGCTCACTGCTTTGGCTCAATGAAAATGTCTATTCTGAATTTACTGATAATCTACATGACTGCAGTGGGTTGGTTAGTCCCCTACTCAAATGATTTCCTTTTGTGCCTAACCTAAAGAAGAATCACTTCCAGTAATTTCTAGGTGATCTTTGGAAAGTTTTCTACATATTCTGTAAATTTGTTTTTTCAACTGTAAAATAGAAATGCTAGTAATATAATTTCTATAAGTGCTAAATGATATAAAATATGTAAATTGCTTAGCACAGTGCTGGAAACTTAGGAAATCCTAATGCAATTTAGCTAGTACCTACCCTAGTATATGCATGAAAAGATGAAATATATTTTTATGCTTTGCAATATTTTAGCTATTAGATCTTCCCTTGTTCTTATTTATAGTTCTTCTCTAAGATGACATGTAAGTATATTATAAGAGGATTTGCAACTGATGCATTGCATTTCAAACAATGTTGTGAATGCAGCATTGGGTTGTTTTATGGTTAAAGAAAGGGAAATACCAATGTTATTTTCCTTTCAATGAGAAATGTGCACTTTTCAGAGGCTTCTCTACTTAAACGTGGTATAGAACAAATTATGTTTTTATGTTCATGTTCTAAAATGTGTCATTGTTTTCTAATATAATGAAAACATCACAGTTTTATGAAATCAGAATTTTTTTCCTTTAATAATTCTATATAGGGTCACTTAAGAGTCAAAAATGAGTCTATAGCACTTAACAATAACAAGAACTGTTTTATAATCTTTGAACATTAACATCAATTACTCTTAAGATGCAGAACTAGATTTGTTGATCTTAGCATAGGTATTGACTATTGTAATACTCTGTGTCAATATTTCAAGTTACAGGTACATGTGAAATAAAAAACAAAATTTTTATACACAATTAATTTCCCTATATCTTCTTGTTGTTGTTGTTGTTAGGTGCCATTGAGTCAGTACCAACTCATAGCGACCCTATGCACAACAAAATGAAACAATGCCCGATCCTGGGCCTCCCTCACAATTGTTGCCATGCTTGAGCCCAATGATGCTGCCATTTTTCTAATCCATTTGACTGGGGTCTTCCTCTTTTTCTCTGACCCTCCACCTTACCAAACATTATATCTTTCTTTAGTGACTGGTCCCTCCTGACAATATGTCTGAAGTATGAGAGACAAAGTTTGGCCATCCTGGCCTCCAAGGAGCACTCTGGCTGATTTATGCCAATACAGATCCATTGGTTTTTGGC